CGATATTGACCGAGATGAATTCTATTTGCTAATCATTTTCGTTTCCATATCTCTAATATTTAGCCGATATATCAAATCTACGGTTATTATGTATTTCATTGTAAAATAGGAAAAAACGCATACATCAAAGAATATTTGTCAAAGAAAATTTAAACTGATTGTTTCTAGAAAATAACACGAGTAAATCAATAATAATCATTGTAAATGAGAGGAAGAAGGAACGATATGGGACTTCTTCCTACCTGTTCCTTGATATGTCAGTTCGTATTAAAAGTATATTGCTGTAGAACTTTAGTCCCGAGGCTAACGTCTTTCAAAATAAAATTTAGCGTAACGTTGTTTGGAAATAAAGATTACGAAATTTATTGAGTTATGGGGCTAGAATCTCTCCCAATCGATATTTTGACGTTTCTTTTCATCACTTTTGATTTTCCTTTGTCGCCTCCGTGATTTCCCAAAATAGGCTTGTAGCATAATTGTAGAGTCTTAAACGGACATTCAGTTATACGATGCGATTCGTTAATTGTCTATATGTGTCTGATTATATATTGACATGAACTACAGTGGATTAAACACTGTCAGTGCCAACTGATCTTCCTAATTAATGTCTGTTCATAACAGACTTTTATACCAGATACAGTATATAAATGTTTGCTCTCCTAATTTATATTTGCTGTAGTTACGTCTACGTCTAAACAATTCTTTGTATGAACGGAATATATTGTAAAACTGATCTTCATATTCTGTTCCAATACGGTATTTTAACTCTAAGATATCTATTTGGCATTAATTAAAGTATTTTCTTTCAAAAACTTTCTTCGCGAAGTATACTTAATACCCAATGAATTTTTTTCATGGAAATGCTTACATCTTTTTTTTACTCGTGAGGGATCATTACAAGTAATGTCTTTTCTTTCTATTTATCTGTCCCAGGGGTTGAGTAACAGGGTTTCTGCTCCCTGGTCGAGGACCTATAGAATATCGACACATTCAACTTTTGCTAAATGTTCAGATATTGATTAATTTTATGTTGTGGTAAAACCGTTGTATGTTACTTTGCTAGTTATCATTCTAACATATAAACGTTATAAAAATTCAGTGTAACCGCACTGTTAAGTGACCCACTATTAGCCTTTCAATCCGCTGACATTTGTTCACATACTTTGTTTGATGTGAGACCATGGAAAGGAACACAATCAAATACAGAGCTGGATGTCATACATTTCTCGACAATACATATTTACTGTCATGCAATGAGATTGTTTTTCCATCAGAAAGGCCCAACTACACCTAAAAAATATTTGGAGAAAGAAGCGTTTATGAGCAAAAAAAATCACTACACAAAACGAATCGAATAGTGTTATGATATACACTATGGTAGACATATAATGTAAGAATATCAATAAGCTTATTGTAATACTCATTCTTTAGCACATCCACATGTTGTATATGGAGTTGTATCTATGTTAGATGTGTTTTTTTCAACGACGAGGATCCGTGGGAACGCGACCTCCAGACTCACGCTAACTGTTAGTTTTACACAGTGACTTCCCAGCGACATTGTGTTGGAGAGGAAATTAAAAACATTTCCTTTTTTTACTGAAAACAATGGTGGACCAATGAAAGTATACAATTGTCAATGTGGCATTTAGACAATGATACAAGAAATGCATGAAGTTGGTTCTTTATGACATCACTGGATACAATATGCACAGTTTGAAATGTTAAACATATTTTACATTTATATATAACAGTTTGCGGGTGCGTCTGTATTTACTGCTTTGTTTGTAAGGCATGTATGGTATTTTGAGCTATGTTCAACCAATCAATTCTTAGAGGCGACTAATGTGTATTATATAAATAATAAGTACATATTCCCGAATAAACGCATAAAATTTGCTATCTTTCATCAATCCTCAATCCATTAATTTATCTTCCATTCGTATTCCTTGCATACATCTAACTATGTATAGTGTATTTATAAGTAGCCCGATATTGTAACATTTTAGTACGTTCACACTAAATCAGTGTTCCCCTAAGGCTTTTTTCATCAGTGTGAATATTAACATTTAAAACAAGAAAACAAACGCACTAATTCAAGTACACCTTCTTTTTAACTAGTGATTCGAACTGAAGAATGTCTAAACCAGATTTTAATGTTTCATAATTATTACCTTCATTTCATTTGTACCTTCACGACAAAAAACGACACAAAATGTATTTCACTTGCCTGTATAGTAGAATTATTACACTATCGTCCTCTCAAGTGAACCATAGAAAGATCAAACATCACCGTAAATAGTATCTCTTAATCAATACGTGAAAGTCTTAATAAAAAATCTTATATTAAATCCACGTTTTGGTGATCCTTGATTTTATTTTGTTAATTATGTCCTTCTGTTGTGAAGTTGTATTTACATAAATTGTTGTCGATGTTATTTGATCGTGTTGTGATTTAGAGTTAGAAAGAAAAGTAATGTATATGTTTCGTCCAGAACGACAGGCTTCACAAGTCGACTTCGTCTAAGTTTGACAACACATTTGACGTTGTTTCTCATTTTTGAAACATAGCAATATTATAAAAACTACGAGGACTGATAGATAAGATGTGTGCCTTGTTAACAAGGTAAGTCTGACAGCTTAGAATATACATAATGATTGGGTAGCATCACTTGGGAATGATGCCCCGTCATATGATACAGTGACAAGGTGGATGACAGAATTTAAACGTAGCAGACAGAGCCTTGGGGATGACGTCCGTCCCGAAAGGCCTGTCATTGTTGCAATCTCAGAAATGGCCAATCAACTCCATGATAATATTATGGCTGACAGGCGAGTTATAGAAAGGTATATTGCCAGTACAGTTGATACCTCACAGGAAATAGTACACGGAAGATCTTGTATCTATTCACAAATCCGTCATTGTCATGGATGCTATTGATGATTGTGGCTTTGCAATTAATTGAGCATCAGTCTTTTTCGCCTGATTTCGCTCCAGGAGACTATCATCTATTTCCAAAATTGAAAAAGGATATATCCGGTACCAAACGTCGTCAGATGATGACGTCAGTCATGCAGTGGAGGACTTCCTAAACGGCCAAGAAAAGATTTTCTTTCAAAAAGTCACCGAGCCTCTTAAACATCGATGGCAAAAGTGTATAGATACTGAAGAGGATTTTGTTGAAAAATAATGCAATATATTCGCCAACAAATCGTCTCCTTAAAATGAGGCTCACAACTTATCAATCAGCCCTTGTATATAACACATCATAAACTTAATTTGGCAAATGTCCAATTACTTGATATATGTGCAGACGCTATACATGGATAAAAACTCATCCATTAAAGCGTAACACATGTATTCGAGTAAATGAATAAAGGTAAGCATTTTTAAATGTGTTCATGAAAGGTAGTAATGCCTTTATGTAAAACCTTAACACGTGTTATTTTAAAGTTGTTTCATTTGTCCTATGTCACTGTGATCCTTTTAGGTGCCCTTTGTTATGCTTAGAATTCATAAATACAATGTTGTGTCTGTTGATTGTTGTCGATATGGCATATGCTTTTGTTGATGCTTTAGTACAGGGTTTCGTTATTTTCTTATGTTGTGGTCGCTTTTGGTCCATTATTCAGTACACAGTTCAGTTTTTGGCTATTGCTTGTTGTCGCTATGATACACATAACATGTTATTTTTGTTGATGCTGTAGTTCTGGGTTTTGTTGATGGTGTGGTTCTGGGTTTTGTTGATGCTGTGGTACTGGGTTTTGTTGATGCTGTGGTTCTGGGTTTTGTTGATGCTGTGGTACTGGGTTTTGTTGATGCTGTGTTAATGGGTTTTGTTGATGCTGTGTTAATGGGTTTTGTTGATGCTGTGGTACTTGGTTTTGTTGATGCTGTGGTTCTGGGTTTTGTTGATGATGTGGTACTTGGTTTTGTTGATGCTGTAGTTCTGGGTTTTGTTGATGCTGTGGTACTGTGTTTTGTTGATGCTGTGGTACTGGGTTTTGTTGATGCTGTGTTAATGGGTTTTGTTGATGCTGTGGTACTGGGTTTTGTTGATGCTGTGGTACTGGGTTCTGTTGATGCTGTGGTACTGGGTTCTTTTGATGTTGTGGTACTGGGTTCTGTTGATGCTGTTGTACTGGGTTCTGTTAATGCTATGGTACTGGGTTCTGTTGATGCTGTGGTACTGGGTTCTTTTGATGTTGTGGTACTGGGTTTTGTTGATGATGTGGTACTTGGTTTTGTTGATGGTGTGGTTCTGGGTTTTGTTGATGCTGTGGTACTGGGTTTTGTTGATGCTGTGGTTCTGGGTTTTGTTGATGCTGTGGTACTGGGTTTTGTTGATGCTGTGTTAATGGGTTTTGTTGATGCTGTGTTAATGGGTTTTGTTGATGCTGTGGTACTTGGTTTTGTTGATGCTGTGGTTCTGGGTTTTGTTGATGATGTGGTACTTGGTTTTGTTGATGCTGTAGTTCTGGGTTTTGTTGATGCTGTGGTACTGTGTTTTGTTGATGCTGTGGTACTGGGTTTTGTTGATGCTGTGTTAATGGGTTTTGTTGATGCTGTGGTACTGGGTTTTGTTGATGCTGTGGTACTGGGTTCTGTTGATGCTGTGGTACTGGGTTCTTTTGATGTTGTGGTACTGGGTTCTGTTGATGCTGTTGTACTGGGTTCTGTTAATGCTATGGTACTGGGTTCTGTTGATGCTGTGGTACTGGGTTCTTTTGATGTTGTGGTACTGGGTTTTGTTGATGATGTGGTACTTGGTTTTGTTGATGCTGTAGTTCTGGGTTTTGTTGATGCTGTGGTACTGTGTTTTGTTGATGCTGTGGTACTGGGTTTTGTTGATGCTGTGTTAATGGGTTTTGTTGATGCTGTGGTACTGGGTTTTGTTGATGCTGTGGTACTGGGTTCTGTTGATGCTGTGGTACTGGGTTCTTTTGATGTTGTGGTACTGGGTTCTGTTGATGCTGTTGTACTGGGTTCTGTTAATGCTATGGTACTGGGTTCTGTTGATGCTGTGGTACTGGGTTCTTTTGATGTTGTGGTACTGGGTTCTGTTGATGCTGTGGTACTGGGTTCTGTTAATGCTATGGTACTGGGTTCTGTTGATGCTGTGGTACTGGGTTCTTTTGATGTTGTGGTACTGGGTTCTGTTGATACTGTGGTACTGGGTTCTGTTAATGCTGTGGTACTGGGTTTTGTTGATGCTGTGGTACTGGGTTTTGTTGATGCTGTGGTACTGGGTTCTGTTGATGCTGTGGTACTGGGTTTTGTTGATGCTGTGGTACTGGGTTTTGTTGATGCTGTGGTACTTGGTTCTGTTAATGCTGTGGTACTGGGTTCTGTCGATGCTGTGGTACTTGGTTCTGTCGATGCTGTGGTACTGTGTTTTGTTGATGCTGTGGTACTGGGTTTTGTTGATGCTGTGGTACTGGGTTTTGTTGATGCTGTGGTACTTGGTTCTGTTAATGCTGTGGTACTGGGTTCTGTCGATGCTGTGGTACTTGGTTCTGTCGATGCTGTGGTACTGTGTTTTGTTGATGCTGTGGTACTGGGTTTTGTTGATGCTGTGGTACTGGGTTTTGTTGATGCTGTGGTACTGGGTTCTGTTAATGCTGTGGTATTTGGTTCTGTTGATGCTGTGGTACTTGGTTCTGTTAATGCTGTGGTACTTGGTTTTGTTGATGCTGTTGTACTTGGTTCTGTTGATGCTGTGGTACTGGGTTCTGTTGATGCTGTGGTACTTGGTTCTGTTGATGTTTGTGCATGCCCTGGTAGAGGTGTTTCACTATTTCGCTATTGACGCTTTGTTGCATACTTTTGATTTTGTGTCTATTATTCGCAGATATCATATACATGTTTTGTCATGGCTGGTGTCGTTGATGAAGCAGAATACACTTACTCTTCCAGAACACAGGGTCTCATTCTCCTTGCACATTTTCAGGAGTCTACGTGTGAATCTTTCTTTTGTTCATATTTCCCCCTAGTTTATGGAATTCGAGTTTACATTATGATCATATTGCCATCTTGGTATTTTCTTGAATTTTTAAAAATGTAATTGAAATAAACCCTTGTACGTTATGAAATTATAAGTTACCAACAACAATATTCAATAGAAGTATGGGACTTAGCTTACAGAAATCCAAATGAATTCGATTTGTATTACCTTCATTAAAGATGACAGTGAGTTCGCGATATAGATACATAGCATGTTACAACACAATTCATTACAAGCATTATCACCATTGTAGTTATAAAAAAAATCCAAATCCGAAAACATTTCAAATAAAGTAGCTTTGTTTGATACTATCTGGATCTAAAACAATCTGAAGTTCCCTTCCATAGAAATACGGCATTTAGGTGTGTAACAATGGTGGAGGAATATCATGTATCTATTCTCTAAACAAGTTTATATATCTTCATGGTGCACATAAGACACGCTGCAATAAACATGCGTTTTTGGGTCATAATCACCTCACCTGATACGATCACGACATACCCATTGCCAAATCTGATTGGTTGAGAAATAACACACCTCTAAAATCACCCGATGAAAAATATCGCCGTTTCCAGTCAATGGTGTTATCTGGGGTCAAAGGTCACATCTATTGTTATGTTAATAAACTGTAAACAAACTTATCATGACGCCATTAACAGGATTTTTTTTATGTCGTATCCAGCTTCGTTAATGATTCACATTCTAGCTTATCTAAGTATGATATGTCTGCAAGTAACACTGTCATCACCTATTCAAGGCCTATGTTGTATGTGGTATAGTAAAGCGTGGGTGTTTTATAGCCGGGCGGATTTATGTAAGGTATACCTTGAGAATAGTGCAAGCGATCAGCAAAAAGGTCAAAAAGTAGGCTTAGAGGTGTGGGCATGATCTTAACTGGATGTATTATAACTCATATAATTGTTACCAGAACTTAACACCAGAAGACATACTACTACAGTAGATACCCATTTGAACTGTCCGCACATTTTAAATGAGTTGAATTAAATTCCGTCCATTCACATTTTTAAAGTTAGTCATTCACAGGAACGGGTTATTTAAATGTTTTGTTGTGTCGTATGTTTTGGATACCTGAATGGGTCAGGTAATTCGATAGCATTAAGTTCTGTGTACAGCGCAGTACACCTTCAACAAGTAACAGTTACCATAATGTGGCCTGACAGCGTTTAAAAGTCGACAATATCTAACAACTTATCAATGGAATGATGATAACATAATGTTACTACACTTAATATCTATATATTGATTTTAACAGTTGCCTTTATGGTTTAATATGGAAAATGTGTTTTTTTTTCTGAAATCCCTGATGATCATAAACTCAATGCTATGCTTCCTTATGAACACGTACGTATTTTTTGTTATTAACAGTGAATATGTAGACATAATGTTCAATTTTTAATCATTGATATATAACCAAAATACTCAACCTCTACCTCCCATTTGGCCACTAACTAGTGTTATGTGCTATATATCAATCAATAGCTATGTAACTATAATATTATACTTTTTGGCCGACAACTATGTATTCTTAATGTTAAATAAGCTGTAAGACTGCAGTGATCTACATAGTGACTAAATGCGGAGCCAATGTCTTTTACCAGGTTACTTTAATAGATCACTATTTCAATTGACCGATCCTTCCGTACAGGTAGTTATACAAAATAATGTTCAAATGTAAGTATTGCATATATGGTATTGTCATTTTACACTTTATATTAATTTTAAATAAGGAACCAATGTTTATCTGGGGTTAAATAAACGCAAGAACTGGTTAACTGGCCTGCATTTGCGAAAATATTGCACGAAACCATTTGGGTTTTCGAATATTGAAAGATTTTATCTCTCATAAGGAAAAGTTCTTTCCGATAGAATCATTGTCCGAACCTCTTTTCGCCATTGTTTACAAAATAAATAGAGTAGATAGAGCAAAACAAAAACAAAATCAGCAAAAGCATTTCTCGGGTTCGGTTAACTTTATATTTTCATTTGGTTGGAGTTCTAAGCTAGCTATCAGCTAGTCTACATCGATACGTGTAGAGTACTTTCCTGTAAAACATTGCAATAGGTCATTTACTAAGATATTTTATTCAAACTATTTCAGTTGCTGTATTTTCATTTCAGAATGTGACAGTGAACATGTTGATCAGAAAAGACATCAGAACAGCGGATTTACCCGAAACTCACGACACCGAAGTATCCGACACAGACAAAATCCTCATCTTAACCATCGGCACCAGTCACCTGCACATCACCCCGGTCATCATGACCGAACTGACAGAACACCTAAACTCCCAAAAACTAGTGGAAAGGATCGTCAGACACAACACAGGAGGTCAGACCAAAAACATCTCTCCGCATTCCACCAAATAGAATCATCTGCGACCCTTCAGTTGGCAAAAGAAAAAAATTCTCCTCACCACAAATCAAAATTATCGTCGCATCCAAAGACCCCCAGTCGAACATCAAAACAAAACCATGGGACCGATTATCAGCACAATAGCAAGAGTCCAAGAACAGACGAAAATAAAATGCAACGTCACCCTCCTTTCAGGTACAGTCGGCGTCGTGAATATAGGCGTCGCTATGGATACGGACAAAGGGCACCTGCTTCTGTCTCCAGATTGGTAAGATAATTTTGGAAGGCAATATTAGCAGTTAATGGTTTAAAACCAAACCTACATCAACAGTGTTAAAAAATAGAGAAATGTTACCTAAATAATCCCTTGACGATATAGATTAAACCTCAGTTTTGTATTACGGTAGGGAAGATGAAAGAAATAAACTATAGTCACTGTATCGGGATCACCGAGATTTCATTTACGATGTAATAAATGTTGTATTTATATTAATAGGAACAAAGAATGCGGCCCAAACTTAGCGTGGCTATACATAACCTGAAACACACCATGTCCAATATGCTTGAAATTATGCAGAAGAAAGTAGAAAAGGTACGGTATTATTCACTACATTGTATGAACGAAAAGTGGTTGCAGAAATCAAAGGTTCTCAAATCCATCTAAATTTTGGAAATTTTATACCACCTTCCACCATCTGATAAACTTTACTTCAAGAAAAAAAAACAGGTTCAGGTAATATGGACTGCTTGAATTACAATCTACACAGCAACAACAGCAAGGATATATTGACATGCATGATTGAATTTTGTCGGTTTTCGATGCACAGTCAGCAGCTTATGTAAAAGGGTCTGTTGTGTATTTGTTTCCTAATCTCTTCCTATGTAAAGACTTGACATCATCAATATAACTAAAGGACTTTGCGAGGTCTCTTTTTCATCTTTTGATCATTCGGATAAAGTCTGTCTCATATGAAAACAAAAACAAGACAGCGAAAAGAGGGCCCAGTTAGTAAGGTTTCATCACCACACCCCTCGCAAGTTTTGTCAATCAAGTTATTCGATCGAACTCGCGATTTCACCTTCCTTGTATCTATTCTTGAAATGATTTACACTAAAAACGCTTCAGTATACTTGTAGTGTACAATGAAATTCCTGTAGGCACGTTTTGGTTGCGAAAAAAAACCCACGAAACCCCCTATAATCAGAGACTATGCGGTATGACGCGGTGTTCACTATTCGTCATACGTTCTTTTGCTGTCTCCAAAATTTACATTCCCTTAATTCTATCGCTCGCGTTTAAGCATTATCACAATAAAACTGTAACATTGAAAGTTAGTAATTAAAAACATGGATAAGAATTTGGTTGAACAACTAGACGAGTCGGCAATGAAACGCCTTTACACAGCCATGGATCGTGTTTTGTCTGTAATATTGTTTACATTGTGAACGTCCTCTCAAGTTCCATCGGCGGGATTTAGCTACCGAGATATTCCGAACGGTCTTTATCATCGCAAAATAGTTACTACTACTGTTGTGATACTACACATCCGATGTATTTTTGTTTTGTGTATTCAAATAGCCATTAAGGTCCTTGGGATTGATAGCGATACTTAATGTCGTATGAAACAGGATGTAAAAATCGTATGATATGGAAGACACTAAAGGGATCCTTTGCAGAATCATGGTTAAAATATTGCATTAAACAGGATATAAAAATCGTACAATATTGAAGGCACTAAAGGGATCCTTCACAGTGACATGGTTAAAACATTGAATGAAACAGGATATATATATTTTTTAACTTATTTTATCAGGTCGGCGAACGTTTCGCAAATATCAACACCGATGCACGACATGACATCACGGAGGTGAAAACACAGTTGAAAGTCATCCATGATGAAAATAATCGCGCTTACGGTAAATAAATGTTAATACAAATTCCCCTGGACGAAGCTATCTGATAAAAGGTTCAATGTATCCACACTTATATTCGAATGTTGAGTATAAACATAAGGTTTCATTATTTTGCTTAAAGCGTTCCAGCCAAGCCTGTATATATTTACATTCACGGTCCGGATAACATCAGCCATAGTATATGACTTACTTACACTAGACAGATACCTGAAAATATTTAAAGATATGAAAGAATAAAGAATATTTGATTGATGTTGAAAGTAAGCTTAAGATTTGAATGTAATGGAGATAAAATTTTACGAGCACTAATCATACACTCCATGAATAATCTTATATATTCTAAGATATATCATATAATTTATTAATTCATTTATCATCCAAATCACATTCGTTATTAAGATATTTCTATAAACGTCACAAAATGACAATGGATTTTAATGGTCAGTTGTATTGATAAAGATTTTTTCAACGAAGCTAACACATTCATAGGTCGCTAAAGATTTAAGTTTTGTAATCGCACCAGTCTGTGAGAGTTATGTCCCTTCCTCCGTTCTTAGCAATGGAAATTTCGTAAGGTTACCGGATGACTCAGAAACACGACAGTTATTCAAAGTTTATTCTTTTTATCTTAGGTACTGCCAATAACAAACCATTTGTTTTCCGTAATTTATTTATTTATTTACTACAACACAGACGCACTACTTGATGTCACGCAGCTCGTGCGTTTTGTGCACCTGAGGGCGTACGAGAGACGAGTAGCACCAGTATCAATGAGCTTACTACCAGATATGCAATTCAAAGACTTCAGCTATGAAGTAGTTCTCGCGGACCAAAGGCAGAACCGTGCAAGGACCATGCATATGGTCCTAGAAAGAATAAAAAGGTAACGTTTGAGAAATAACGCTAATAGATTTGTTTTTCGTCATTGTTCGAAAATTTCAGAAGAGAATTTGATTTGAAACAGCTAGAAAACCGCTGATTAAACGCAAACTATTATAGTTGGTCCTTAAATATTTCTTATCACATCAAACTGGTAACATTCTAAATATCAGAGTATCGCACATTCCAATATTTCATCATATTGACTTACATGGGATTTTACTAAAAAATTTTTTTTTGTTTGAACATGATTCGTTTAAGGTCTTAAGATATATTTTGAATAGAACATATTTACTCAATTAAGAGACGTAAGAGGCGACTGGGAAAATAAAAAAAACGGTCGAAAGAAAAGTAAGATTTTATATGCGGAGGTACACTAACACAAAACGTGTTGGATTTTGTAATTTTCACTGTCTGATTAGTCAAGTCTATAGGTATATCTTGAACCTTACTGCTATCAGAATGAAGTAAAACGTGGCATGCAGGTCACGACAAACATGCTGGAATTATAGTACATATATAAAATCAGGCATAATTTTGACAGGACATTGATTTTTAAAATTTTGAACTGATGAAGGTAGTCAAAAGAATTTAGTTTCGGATTTTAGTGTTTAATTAGGGTTTTAGTGTATGACTTATGAACGGATTCTCGACAACCGTTAACATCTAATCAACTGCTTTTCCTTTGATCTGAAATACTGCACGCAAGTAGGAAGTAAGTGAGTCCTTTATGTATACAATTCTCAATTGACCGACCTCGTGGTGCTGACGTTTAAATGAAAGTTATAGATTATATTTTTGTAGTAAATTGTAACAGATTGAGTAAATGTCCACGTTACTTTCATTCATTAATTTCTCATAAGTACTTTTAATACTTAAAAATATATTTGCTATATGTTTCAGTCGGTGTATGGAGCAGGAACAGAAATACAGCTCAATAGTCCAAAGATATAATAGCAGAGATGCAAGGGCGCTCTTTGTGGATATTGCTCGTTTTAGACGTAAAATAGAAACCAGATTATACGGACAAATCCGGGGTGATGTCCGACAACGCATACACACGTACCAGGTATCATTCTAAAGCATCACTTTAAATAAACTGTTTTAAACAGGTGCGTGCTTGGCTCAAATGTGTATGTCATTTTATATTCTTTAAAAGCAACAAAGAATGTCTTTCTTTATTTTGGTAGGCTGGTGGATCTGCATGACAATTCTATACATGTTCCATACAGTTATTTGTTTATTTGATTTCCGTAACTTAAGTGAGTATAAATAAACTAATACTGAAACAAAACATAGATTTAATTTGATTGTAAACAGCTATCAGAGCACATGTGTATCGTTATACCGACTGTATATATCAGAGTATCAAACAGAAACACCAGCTAGATATTTGTAAGTATGAGATATAGATATTTATAACCTATTACGTACTACTTATTTTTTGCTAATACTTCAGATTATGTCTAAATATATCCACCCTTTATATCACTATTACAACACCTATAGATAATATTAATTCTTCCACGATACAGCGGTACCTGAACACTGTAACGGACCAATATATGGACGCACGAAACTTCTCATTTACCGCGAATAAGGAAATCAGAGCTGTCCAACGAGATGTACAGGTATGTCTGGAAGTATTTGTTTACATCATGGATATATGTTATGCTGCGTAAAAATGTGTTTGTTTCATTTCTTCGAAAACCTGCATTGGATCAATTTTCTCTCTCTCAGTCAGTGTATATTGTTTCTGTTTTTATAGAGCGTCGAATCATGAAGTCTCGTTTGTAATTTACATTAACATGGCGACAAAAGCGATTTCAGTAAAAACCTTTCTTTCTTCATTCGATCTTCATCCTTTATGTGTTTTGGTGTCTGTCCGTATTTGTACATTTGCTGTTCTGCCGAAATATTATTTATTTTGGGAAAATTGCGGGTGAATGTTTGACTTTCATTAAAACCTCTATTTGGAGTACAATCGTACTAGATATATTCTTTATATAACGACTTACTGATCAATTCTCCTCAAAGTAATATTTTTTGCTATTTTGGACATTGAAAACAACACATTAGACAACTGAAAAATCCAAAATTCGAAATATTTATCACAATAGCACAAACAATTATGACTGCAGATGTTTATCCTCTAACTTGATAGCTTTTATAATGGCGGTAAAATGTTTTAAGATACATACCTATCCAGACTTGTATATGGAATTTCTGATGAGGCAATTTCATCCTTCTTAAGCACATATATCTCACATCTGTACAATCCTAGGACCAAGCTATAGTCATTGTAATGTCATCTTAAAACTTCACAAGATGACATCGCTGGAAAGCAAACAACCTTTATCATAAGACATGGCACAAACACTTTAGGCATTCGGTTCCGGTTTCGAAATCGTCCTTGATATTGATCTTTGGGAAGATCACGTGATAGTATTAAAGTTAAAGGTTATATTCTCAAAATTAACGTGGACATTTTAATATTAGATAGCTTTACAATGAATTATGTTTTATATTATGTACAACCATCAATGATATCATTCAGTGTACTTCACTTACGGACACATAGATATTATGGAGATACTCCTGTTTTTTTTTATAGAGAAACATTGCATTACGAAATGCCTATTTGGAGAGACGTCTACCTCATACCGAAATCGTTTACCAAACAACAGCGCCAATTACCAATATGGATGATATAGACCAAGTGGCATTGAAAAGCTATCAAAAAGCCAGACAATTAGGACGTACTGTCGAGTCCATGGCAAGGTCAGGAATGAACAGAATGCGTCAAAATCATCTTTGAGTTACAAATGATTTTTGGAGTATAAAGGTTTTCATAATTAAATGCATTTTAATGAACCTCCTACAAATGTACAGTAAAATAAAAACACACAATAACAATGTTAAATTAATCACAAGGTATGATTTCATTTACAGGACCATCATTCCAATATTGCAGAAAGCAAAGAGATTTATAGAGGAACGAAAGGAAACTGGAAGTAATGTGCGTTTGCAGTTGTTTGCAATTGTTGGCAGACTGGCCGGTACTATCGTGGTATGTGTTTTGAAACGCTGTAGTAATACGCAATACTTTGCATTGTTATCGAGGATTTCTAAAAATGGTTAAAGGTATCACCTCCTCAAATCACCCCTGAAAGTAAGTAATGACCAAGCCCACATGTGTGTTTCAAATGAGGTTAATTAAACGATTATATTAATCTGTTATATCGACAATTTCCCGAGGTAAATTTATATTGTCATCTGATTGTTGCCTTCAGAATCTCGACAAGACAATGGACCAGTTACGTGTCTTACTGGCAGACGAGACTATACTCCGCGAGCGATGTGAAGACTTAGTCACTGGATCTGGTGGAGGCGATGATGATGATATGGTCATCGATTGTGAGCAATATATCACCATATTAGGAAGTGGTGAGGATGATTTAATAACCGCGCGTGTTACAACTCCAAGACCGAGCCCTTCTTCCACATTGGTACCTCATTACAAATCTACAACTCCGCGACCATCAACAAAAGTGCATTCAACACCAAAACCTAAAACTACGACACTACGTCCTACAACTCCGCGCCCATCAACAACGAAATCTTCAACACCAAAAGCTAAAACAACCACACTACTTCCGACAACTCCGAGTCCAACCACAACAGTGACGCCAACACCAAAACCTAAAACAACCACATCACGTCCTACAACTCCGCGCCCATCAACAACGAAATCTTCAACACCCAAACCCAAAACAACCACGCCACGTCCTACAACTCCAAGTCTAACTACAACAGTGAAGTCAACACCAAAACCTAAAACAACAACACCACTTCCGACAACTCCGAGTCCAACCACAACATTGACGTCAACACCAAAACCTAAACCAACCACACCACTTCCAACAACTCCGAGTCCAACCACAACAGTTACCTCAACTCCGCAACCAAGAACAACGCGTCATTTAAAAACATCCACAACAACCACATCAACCACTACCACCACAACACCAGTTCCATCGACAACTACCACCACAACACCAGTTCCATCGACAACTACCACCACAACACCAGTTCCATCGACAACTACTACCACAACACCAGTTCCATCGACCACTACCACCACAACACCAGTTCCATCGACCACTACCACCACAACACCAGTTCCATCGACAACTACCACCACAACACCAGTTCCATCGACCACTACCACCACAACACCAGTTCCATCGACAACTACCCTATCAAAAAAACCTCGATATCCCGTATCACTGTCAACAACAACAAAAACAGTTACTGTATCGTCTGACGATGAAGATATCATCTTCAGTGGAGATGAAATGTTTTATCCAACTACAGATAAATTGTCAACAACCGTACTTCAAAGCAAAAGTCCTGTTACTACCAGTTCTCCTCACACAACCACCACTACAAGCATCCCAACAACTCTTGAGAGTAAACCCACAACGGCTGCCCCAACTACAACTACGGAAGCAGTCACTACGACAGAGATAGGCGCAACCATTGAAATTGGCAGTGGAAAGGAGGAATCCGACTTCACAATCGAGGAAAGTAAAGAGAACGAGGATTCGGATGGTGGATGGGGCGGCTGGCTTTGGGGAGGTGATGACCCTAATGTCGGAGCTTACGAGAATTCATTTAGTAAGTTTAGACTAGTTGCATCGGTGTGTACATGTGACATAAATATGGACTATCAGATGTGAGAAAACTTTAAGAAATTTTGACCGGAAATGTATTGTAATATCCAATTTTCTGTTGCTGCTTGCTGTCAGTCTGATTAATTATTATTATACTATTATTCTAATTTGAGTTTTTAAATTATTTAAATAGATGTGGTATCAAATATTAGGAAGACAAGTTTTCACTCTGCTGTTAGCCTGTATTGAGCTGGTTATCCTACTGTTTATAGAAATGATCATGGTACATAAATCAGTTTAACACTGATTGATGTCAAACTATTAAACAATTGCTTGCTTCACGACATTGCTTAATTTTGAATGATATTTTAATTGTTAAAATCTTTCTGAATCCTTCCTAGGTCCTGTGAAGTAATATATTCTGTATTGTACTTTATGAATTTTACTGAGAGATTGTAAATCAATCATGACGGAAAAAGGCATGTGACAAAAGTGAAATTTATTACCACAGGCACTACATTCGCATGGGAATGTAATTCACGTGTTCTGCCCCACGTTATGTGAAGCGAAACTTTAAATGATAACTAGTATTCTTGTCGCTGTGTTATTTGCTAATGGATTTCTCTTCGTAACCGGGTACATATTGTCACACTCTGATGTACCAATATCAGTGAAAACGTTCACGTATGTGCATGAGAATATTTTTAATTAAAGATATCTTTTACAGGAAACAAATTGCAGAAGAGAGCAGAGGAGGAACGAGAGAAATCTGACGATCTGATAGCAAGGTCTATTCCAATCAACCGCAGACATGATTGTTAGTAAAACAATGATAACAGTTGTTACCTTTCATTAGTTGTCAACTTGTATAGATGAAAAAAAATATTTCTCACTTATTTGCTTACAGATATTCCATAAAGATTACTTTTTTTCTTTATATTGCAACTGCTTCAAATTATTTGATGATGCTTATGGTGACCATGATGATGATGATTGTGCTGATGATTATTATAATGATGGTGATGATAATTATGATAGCATGGTGATGATGATGGTAATAATGGTGATGATGATTATGATGATAATGATGGTGATAATGATGATGCTGGTGATGATAATGAAGATGATAATGATGCTGGTGATGATAATGATGATAATGATGATGATGATGATGATGATGATGATGATGGCTATCAATGATAATAAATCATCTTTATCCTAGTGATCCTGGAGAGATGGGGCACTGTGAAAGAAAACGTAGCCATCATGAGAGATTTTGTAAACAATGTCACCGAAGTGGAAGCCATTTGGATGGACGCCGAGCCCAACATTGAATCTACACATGACAAGATAGTCAAATTAAACGCAAAGATTAATCAGCATGATATAAGTATCCGGAACAGGATCGAAAAGGCAAAGAAAATAGCAATATCACAAGTGAAGAAGGCAGAATCTAGTCTAAATGGCCAGGAAACGTCACCATCACGTCGACACGTGGAAATGATGACGGATCTACTTGTTAAAGGTTTAGTTAATGTGTCTCTATATCTATATGTACCCATCTTTCTCGCTTGTTTCCATGTTTGGACGTACCATCAGCATCAATTGCCACATGCAGTGAAAAGAATGCAATGTATGGATCATAATCATCATAATTATGAAACTAAATTTCTTCTACCTCTATTTTCTGAATGTTACAATACATTTCAAAATTCATTTTAAAGCTTGCTTTTACTTCAGAAACTGTTATTTATGATTTTATCGGCTTGAGGCTTTTGTCTTTCTTTCTTCATTACTTTGGGTTTTCCTCAATAGCGTCATAAGCTTCAAAATTTAGACCCCTAGCATCAGTAATGTGTATTACAAGGACAAAACATCGTTATGATGCAGTTTAATTCATTGTTTGGCACAATTGTATCTACCTCTAAACGTGTATCAAAGATGTAATTCGCTTATGTGTCTGGTGCAATTTTAATGTTGTTGAACAGTTGTTCAGTATATCAACATGTACTTGTTTTAGCTGACACTGTCCGATCAAATATGCAACAGATCAAGGAAATCACTGGCCGTCCAGATGTTCAGCCTTGTTTGACCGTACAGAGGGAGGCCACCAACCTTCGTAACAACATAACAGAACTCAGGAAAAAGATAGACAGAGCTCGAGCTATCTTCTCAGCGCTTCCCGTAGGTTCTAAAAATTTGAATATTGCATATTATACTTAATATCCAATAATTTTAAGGTGAAAGTTCCTGTCACATAGTTCACAATAATCTGTGACATGTTTCATAAGATTTGTTATAAAATATGCATTATTCCATTACGTAGGTCATTATTCCTTTCATGTAGCTCACATCGTTCCGTGACGTAGTTCTAATTTCTTGAGATATATTACACATTATTCCGTGACATATTTCACGATTCCTGAGATATATTACACATTAATCCGTGACGTATTTCACGATTCCTGAGATATATTACACATTAATCCGTGACGTATTTCACGATTCCTGAGATATATTACACATTATTCCGTGACGTATTTCACGATTCCTGAGATATATTACACATTAATCCGTGACGTATTTGCAACATATCGCACAACAACGTCCTTGAAAATTATCAGATAAATTGCTTATTTACATGTCACAAAATGACCGGCTGACCTTTTGTTAATTTAGGTCGTTCGGTCACCTCTAACACGTTCATCGTTATTTTTTTCAGTTTGCTGTTTCACATGCCCTAAATCATCTTTGATTTGAAACAAGTATAAATAATTCAAGATCGGATATTGAACGTATAAGAATTCATTTCGTAACATTCAGTTTAGTGAGATAGACAAACGATTGACAAACTCGAGACAGAAATAATTTATAAAAAAAAATGTGTATATTTTATGTAGGAGACATGTAAGATGGGGGCGACGAAGCCCACTATATGGTAGTAGCGACTGTCTGACCTTAATCCATACTCTCCCTATGGATTATTGTATAATGTTATGCAGTGGATATCTCATGACCGAAAAGCTGAATATCATCTTCCATGTAAAAGATACAGATAGAGCTTCACAATTCAGTCAATAGTAATATATAGTGGTATTTTTGCTCGTTTGTTACACAAGTCTATCGATGGTTGTATTGCAACAAGTGTGTGAATAATTGTGCGCATTTTACATCTTATCTATAAAGTAAATGCCGAAATATCAATTTAATGTTTTCCAGTGGAAATTCAATATATTGAGAGTGTCCATGTCCCCTCCTTTGCCACAAAATCATAAACATATTTCCTTAGAATGGTTAAATGAATATTTGAGCATTCGTCATACACGTGGTTGAGCCTCGATTTCATTAGAAAATGTAACGTAGATCAATAAAGTGTGTCTGTGACGTCAACAACTACCTTGATATTTTGGAAAGCCTTCGTCTAATTTCAATTCGTTATTTTGGTCTTATTTTATACACCGTTTTCCATAACTAGTTTTCAAGTTCACAACTCATAATGTTGAACTTTAACATTGAATTGAATTGATTAAATCTCAGTCAGTCTGACAAACTTTTACGTGGAATGTAACATTGTATAGTGATTAAATCTCAGTCAGTCTGACAAACTCTTACGTGGAATGTAACATTGTATAGTGATTAAATCTCAGTCAGTCTGACAAACTCTTACGTGGAATGTAACATTGTATAGTGATTAAATCTCAGTCAGTCTGACAAACTCTTACGTGGAATGTAACATTGTATAGTGATTAAATCCCCGTCTGACAAACTCTTACGTGGAATGTAACATTGTATAGTGATTAAATCTCAGTCAGTCTGACAAACTTTTACGTGGAATGTAACATTGTATAGTGATTAAATCTCAGTCAGTCTGACAAACTCTTACGTGGAATGTAACATTGTATAGTGATTAAATCTCAGTCAGTCTGACAAACTCTTACGTGGAATGTAACATTGTATAGTGATTAAATCTCAGTCAGTCTGACAAACTCTTACGTGGAATGTAACATTGTATAGTGATTAAATCTCAATCAGTCTGACAAACTCTTACGTGGAATGTAACATTGTATAGTGATTAAATCTCAGTCAGTCTGACAATTTTTACGTGGAATGTAACATTGTATAGTGATTAAATCTCAGTCAGTCTGACAAACTCTTACGTGGAATGTAACATTGTATAGTGATTAAATCTCAGTCAGTCTGACAAACTTTTACGTGGAATGTAACATTGTATAGTGATTAAATCTCAGTCAGTCTGACAAACTCTTACGTGGAATGTAACATTGTATAGTGATTAAATCTCAGTCAGTCTGACAAACTCTTACGTGGAATGTAACATTGTATAGTGATTAAATCCCCGTCTGACAAACTCTTACGTGGAATGTAACATTGTATAGTGATTAAATCTCAGTCAGTCTGACAAACTTTTACGTGGAATGTAACATTGTATAGTGATTAAATCCCCGTCTGACAAACTCTTACGTGGAATGTAACATTGTATAGTGATTAAATCTCAGTCAGTCTGGCAAACTCTTACGTGGAATGTAACATTGTATAGTGATTAAATCTCAGTCAGTCTGGCAAACTTTTACGTGGAATGTAACATTGTATAGTGATTAAATCTCAGTCAGTCTGACAAACTTTTACGTGGAATGTAACATTGTATAGTGAATAAATCTCAGTCTGACAAACTCTTACGTGGAATGTAACATTGTATAGTGAATAAATCTCAGTCTGACAAACTTTTTACGTGGAATGTAACATTGTATAGTGATTAAATCTCAGTCAGTCTGACAAATTTTTACGTGGAATGTAACATTGTATAGTGAATAAATCCCAGTCTGATAAACTTTTACGTGGAATGTAACATTGTATAGTGATTAAATCCCAGTCTGATAAACTTTTACGTGGAATGTAACATTGTATAGTGATTAAATCTCAGTCAGTCTGACAAACTTTTACGTGGAATGTAACATTGTATAGTGAATAAATCCCAGTCTGATAAACTTTTACGTGGAATGTAACATTGTATAGTGATTAAATCTCAGTCAGTCTGACAAACTTTTACGTGGAATGTAACATTGTATAGTGAATAAATCCCAGTCTGATAAACTTTTACGTGGAATGTAACATTGTATAGTGAATAAATCTCAGTCAGTCTGACAAACTTTTACGTGGAATGTAACATTGTATAGTGATTAAATCTCAGTCAGTCTGACAAACTTTTACGTGGAATGTAACATTGTATAGTGAATAAATCCCAGTCTGATAAACTTTTACGTGGAATGTAACATTGTATAGTGATTAAATCTCAGTCAGTCTGACAAACTCTTACGTGGAATGTAACATTGTATAGTGATTAAATCTCAGTCAGTCTGACAAACTTTTACGTGGAATGTAACATTGTCTAGTGAATAAATCCCCGTCTGACAAACTCTTACGTGGAATGTAACATTGTATAGTGAATAAATCTCAGTCTGACAAACTTTTACGTGGAATGTAACATTGTATAGTGATTAAATCTCAGTCAGTCTGACAAACTCTTACGTGGAATGTTAAAGAACGATTTAAGTAATTGGTTGTTGTAATGAGTTTTATCGATGGGGTCAAAGCTCACATTTTGGGCGGAATTTGAATGAACACTATTTGTTGTATAAAAAGTATTTATATCGAATTACGTGCGTCGTACATCAACAATCCTTCTGTATAATGTTGGTCCTGAAACGTGGTAATTAATCTACATTGATGATATCTTAGGTCTTACTAAATGTAGCTTAATTGACGTACAATAAACTCGGCCTTATTCTCGCTATTAATAGACCCATAAATAGAAGGTATATTCCTCAAGTATGTTAGTATATAATAAAAATACAATTGATAATATACACAGTGTACAGCAATATGTTAACGAAGGCACCTTTGGAGCAACGACCTATTTAAAGTTATTCACATTTTTAGTTGCACTTCCATCCTTTCAGCATGGCGAAGGGAGTGGACGGTGCTTGTGTTATCGCTTCCGGCGGATGTTGAACGCCGAGTCTAAAACAAGCGTTTTCGCTTTAATAGGAATGTGTAGGATATTAACGAAATTCTAAATTCGTAGTCGAACAGATATAAAATATACATAATCTACCCTATTACTGTATGCTTCCGTCATATTATATCAGGTATCCATAGCAATGGTGGAAGGGAGAGAATATAATGCCGACGTGCCATCAACAAGTGAAATTGTGTCACCCATGACGTCACTCGAGGTGTGCATTAAGCCTGAAAGGTCGGGGATGACGGTAGCAAGTTTCCATGGTAATGGAACAGTAAGTAGGATGTTGTTTTCACACTAACCTACTACCCTACCAGTGGATCATGAAAACTGTAAAATGAGTTGAACACAGCCTGGTTTCAATCAATGATGAAACATAATTTTCCTTGTACATACAACGAGAGAAATTGTATAGTTTTTGTATTAAAATATTGATTAGTTATTTTTGTTAGGGTTAGCAAAACTCATTCAAAGGTAAACGCTCATGTTGTGTGAAATAAAACTAGTGAAATCCTTCCATCGAAGACAAATCAACCTGATTAACTGGGTATGGGATCGAAGACAAATCAACCTGATTAATTGGGTATGGGATCGAAGACAAATCAACCTGATTAATTGGGTATAGGATATGCTAGTGTGGTTATAACAATAGTTACATTGTGACTACAGTGATGAATGAGTTTATCTTGAATTGATATCATCTACCGTCAGTAATCTGTGGTATTCTATGCCAAGGAAAGCAGAAGAATTCAAGCTTTTCTCTTTTAATATCTCTAAACTCTACAGATCTCTAGATCAATTAATTCAGATAATTTTCTCTGTTGTTCAGATTTTATTGTTGTCAGAAAATATAGAATTAATGTGTTGTTTCCACACAAAGGTTGCCTATGATATAGAACTTGTGGAAAACATTCCAACTGTGTCTATCACGGGTGCTGATGGGGAACTTTACGGTACTCTACAATCATCCGTCATCATTGAGATGTCGCAGTGGTACAATTTACATGTCACTAGGTATGTAAATATATTCCTAAAAAGTAAAATTCAGAAAAAATGATACATTATTAACTTGTTACCAGTTCGAAAACATATTCATATTCTTGATATTTCTTCGTTTTTGTACAATTAATGTGAACCTATGGGACGAGCGTTAGTGGGTAATGCGTGGGCATCGTGTGGTTTGATGTAGTGCGATCCAGGGGTGCTGTTGGGATGGGGTGTGGTTTGGGCAATGACGAAAGGAGTTCTTCCATTCTCCTCTATTCCTAATCGTTTCAAACACGTTTCCTCGTTTATGTCATTTCCCCATTCCTCTTATATTTCTCCTTGACTAATAGCCTTGTATCTCTTCTCGTTTTGCTGATTGCATAGTTTAAGTTGCTGTCCTTCTGGTGCCTGTCCGCGTCCTTAATTTTTTGTTGACCTTTTTCTAATGATTCTGCGGGGTTGATTGTCCAATTTCTTATTTTCATGTCAAGTTAATCGTCTCTTTTCTGTAGCGATTTTTTGTGTTGTATTTTATTGTCTTCTCAATTCAGCTGTGAATTATGTTTAGACTTGAGTTGCGCGTTTTCCGTTGTTGATTGTGTTGTTTTCTTGCTACTGTTTGGTGTCTGATGATATTTTTCTTTACGATATCTGCTCTTGGTATTGACCTGTGTATCGTTTAGTATTCCATCCATATCTTTATTTCCATATTTCCTCTCTGTTTGTAATCCTGAAAAGTTCTTAATTACTTGTTGTAAAGGTTTATTTTGTTTCTGTTTGTTCTGGACGGTGTATTACACATAATTTATATAAATAAATGTCGTCTTTTTTAACGTGGTTCATATATTTTAACGTCGGACGTTTTGGTCGCTGTTGCCGGCGGTTGTATATCTTGGGTCTTTGTTTAAGTTTCACTGTCAACTATACTGTATACTTTAAAAGTTTTGTTGTCATGTTGTTATGAATGTTTCCACGTATACGGTACTCCAGCATAGTAGAAGAATCAGCCTGTGATTGGATAAGTTGTCCTTAATTTTGTATCAGATCTGGCCACACTGTAGCGATGCGAACCACGCGACTGGTCAATGATACCGAACCTATCCTGGAGACAGCTGCTTTCCCCAATATGCAAGTGTTGCAAAGAGCTCCGACATCGATCCAACTTGGAAGTTCCAATCCTCCCGGTCTGGTGAGAGATCCAATATACTTGATTATTCAATATGGCATACATTACTAACCAACATTTCTTTTGATTTAGTTTCAGTGTCATCCATATTCTGTCCACTGTTAAATTTGTTAAGTTTGTTCGATAATTTGATAATTCAACTTTCTTAAAGTTGGTTGCAAAAACCTGTCGTAAATAAAAAAAATTAGTTATTGTTATGAATACAGTAATGTTATAAACGTGAAGTCTTTGAATAGGATTTAAAGTTTTATTAGACGTTGTCTGATTCATTATAGCAAATATATTTTTAAATCTTCGGAGAAAATTGTAGTGCGAGAGGGAGAAAGTTTATGTAGGTTTTAGCCTGTTGCCTAATACCCAATGTTGTATTATCAATGAAATCTTTGTGGGAAGAAAAAAAGTAGTGCTTGGTGTGTAGCATTCATTAAGTACAGTTTCCGGTGTAGTTATCGGTGTAAATATTACTTTTGTTCATATTTGCACTAGTTGAGTTTGAATTACGAGTACAAAACTGTTGGTATTTTCTTTGTATTTTTCCAAATTTTCCAGTAATGTAACGTTCACGTGGTATTTTTCCATGAGTGTAATGTCCACCACTGCTATTGATACTTAATAGCTTTGTAAAGGTGTTACTGTTTTCTTGGTTTATCATTAACTAATTAGATTTGTTATCTTTATTAAAGTATGGCTTGTCATTGATAAAGATTAGTTTGACGTGATATGCAATAAAAATCTAACAAAACAAAAAACAAAAACAAAAAAAAACTAAAAAAAAGACCCCAAAATACAGCATTTGAGAAAGGTGTGTTTGACTTTTAATTTTTATATATGTAACCGTAGATTTGTTCCTTTATGAACATAAAAAACCATGCGCGTATTGATTTAGGAATTTAAACTCTTTAACAAATGCGGTGTAAATGAATGGTTACTGAGATGTACCTAGTTACTTTGCATACTGAAACATATTTTTGATTGATATGGACGGAGATTGAATATTTCCGTATGCACTAAAATGATAGTTAAAGTAAATAAGAAAATTACAATTATTGTTGTTGATTTCTGGTATATTGCTAATTCGCTTGGGGTAATTTTTTTGTCCTTGTTAATGTTTTAGCTATGCATGTCTATGGTGATGTTATGTTATCCTTGTTTGTTAGATTTTTCTCTCTTTCTCAGGGGAATACTGATACGTTAGGCTGTATAGGACGTGTGATAATCAACGGGCAAGCTGTGGGATTGGCACATGCTGGATCTATAGAACAACCTGCGAAGACTTGTACCTCCGGATGGTATACCTATGATAGACAATATAGAATTGTTTTCCTTACATAATCACTAGAATAAATGAAAAACGTTAATATTATTTGTATATTTAATTATTTCTCCATGTTAAATGCTAGTTATAAACTGTCTTGACAAATCTGGTTAACTCACGAACACACTCTCTCTCCAAATATTCTGAAATGTTTAAATTATAAACTCACACTCCTCGAATAGAAAAAAAAATATTGAAACCGACGTTCTTTCGTTGTAATGTCAGTGCTTTTTTTATATTAGTCACCGATAAAGATTCGATAAAGAAGACAGGTTGGGATTTTACTTTGAATTTCGAAAGTGCTTTTTTTTCTAATGTAAATGCCACTTTTAAGGGAATGATAGAAGTTGTTCTTCAGCATCCCTTGCAAGTGATAGGTAGCTGTCTTGCATCAATAACCCTAAACTGAACACACTTGTATTGGTTTCTTTTTATTTCAATAGTGCGTCATCTACTGCACCGTCAATGGTATTTGATGGAGATGGATATGTAATGTTTCCTATATCTGTGTTACGCCCCAATTCCCGAGTGGACAGCCTGTATCTGAAATTTTCAACAAGACAGCGGGAAGGCATTCTTCTCTTGCTTAATGACAAAGTGGAACAGGTATTTGTTAATTTCTTTCAGAATGTATTATCTTAAATGAGTTAATTGCATGGAAATTGTTATTTGGCATGCCCACTAAATTAAAGTCACGACAAATGTCGTTCACACATCTAAACAATGAAACAATTTATTCAGTACAGAATAACAAATAAATCATTTGCCTTATATGGTCTTTGGCTTTGGCAGATCACATGAGATGTCTTGAGCACATGGCTCAGTACTAGAATCTGTTAATTCTCTGTCCTTTAGAATTGCTTGACATAACAAACTCAGTGCACGTCGCTATGAAATGTGATACTTTTAAAATACAATATTTAGATACTGTTTTTTTTCTTTACTTAAATAGACTTTGTAACGTGATTCAAATGTCTTCAACTGGATTCGAATGATCCTCGTTAAACTTGGAGCAGACTGATAAACTTGAAAATACGACACGTGTCTGAAATATATGTCATTTGAACTTGAACGAAAATAATCCTCTTTACCTTCAAAATATATTTAGACATATATAAACAGTTCCCAATTCCTAATCCGAGTCTGTGTTTCTAATAATATCATGTACACTGTTTAATCATGTATGTACTTTTCTATGATAACATCGGACTCATTTGCCGACAGATTAAACAGCAGTAAATGTCGCCGTTTATGGCTGAAAAAAGAATGATTCGTATCAAAATGAGAATATCGTCTTCATAATAGTTTCATTGATTTGATTTCTGTCTTACTGATATTATTAAATTTTCTTTTTTATATCCTTCCGATCATAAAATACTAATATATACTTCTGCTGACAGCAATAAAATGAGATGAAAATATAGTTTTCCTATATTTCTCCACGCCTATCAAGAAAATGACGACAAAGGAAATAGAATACTACTCTCAAATTAGCTCTAAATAAGGGTCGAGAATTTCATGCTTGTGTATGCTGAATACAGTTTACTATCCTACATACAAGGATATGTAAGGTTAACTTATCATACTAAATGGTCTATCGTATGAAAGACGTTCATGTCCTTCAATTTCACTTTTCATTTCACCGACGATGTACAATTTTATAAATTGAATATATACTGATTTTAAATCAAAGTATGACTTCAATCTTAAAATCATGACATTACCTGGATATCACTATATTTACATATATTTATAATGTAACATTCATCCTCCCAGGTCTTGTTATTGAAGTCTCCATTGTGATTTTCTCTTCTGTTTTCAGTTCTTGTTTCATTGATTATACATTGCAGTTCTATCAATATTACAACATTGTTTTGCCTAAGAAATTAGTCCACGACTCCCCAGGCTCGTCACTTCTAATATAGGGATATGTAATTAATGTAAACAGAGGAGTCTGAGGTGATACTTACTTTCACATTACAACGTATGTAATAGTCCCGATATGTATCTTCATAAGTATAATCATGGTGTGCATTGACTGTAAGTTGAAGACTACTTTTATTCAGTTCGATATTTATTAGTATTCCAAAGGACTCAGTATAATAAAACATGAAGAAAATATCTGTGTAGAGATGAGTGAAACTAAAACATGAAGGAAATATCTGTGTAGAAATGAGTGAAACTAAACTATGAAGGAAATATATGTGTAGAGATGAGTGAAACTAAAACATGAAGGAAATATCTGTGTAGAGATAGGTGAAACTAAACTATGAAGGAAATATCTGTGTAGAGATGGGTGAAATTAAAACATGAAGGAAATAGCTGTGAGGAGATGGGTAAAACTAAACATGAAGTTCATACTCACCAGTTAATCACCACGTTATATCAAACTTTATCGTGTATGCTATTAACGATGAATATATGTAGGACACTCCCATAATCTAAAGATCGTGATATCAAAAGGGGGTCACATTACAAAGTTGTAACTCTCCTTATTATCTCTCATTCTTATAATTAAATGTTTTAATGCTTCCCACTTCATCGGATTGAGATCGAGAAATGTGTTGACGTGGATAATCAGTCAGCTATATGAGGTTTGTGGGGAAGATTAATGTCTGTCACCATCATGTGTTGTAATATAGATTTCATCGTGCGTTTCAATTATTTCCTCCATAATTAGTAAAAAGGTGATCGGTATTTCAACCAGAATTATAATATAAAAGTATATGATACTACAGTGCAATCTCAAAGTCGTTTATCGTAGAATCCTTCATAGATAGCATATAGGTCTTTAATTATACAGAATACCATACCTTTAGTACTATGAAATCCATACTCGTAAAGGTTTTGTAAGTAAGTCTACAGGTTTGCTAATCAAGCTATATCACATATATTCCTCGACAGGTAATTATATTTCTACTGAAACAATTAAAGTTTTTGAAAGTAGTACTATGGGTTTGGTTGCCACATTCATCACAACTATATTGCTTATTTTGTATTCCAGCATTTGCAGATGTTACTTTCGGTGTCTGAAGGTTTCATACATATGGAAGCAAGGACAAAGAGGGGAACGACTGTTCTTAGAAGCAACGAAAACATATACGCCGATGGATTATTTCACATCGTAGAGGTACTGCAGATTCATTGTGTTTAAGTACCTGTCGAAAATCAAAGGCGAATTCAAAACTGAGCAAAAGCGAACACTTTTTTTGCGATAGTAAAACAACGCTTGTCTAATTTTGTCAGTAATTAAATATAAATATGACATCATAACAATAACTGGTATTGATCCGATGAAAACTTTTATTCGTCCGAATATAACGGTTTTATAGAAGGTCAAGGTCAACGCGATCAAAACCTTCTCGAAAAGGATTGTGAGCACTTCATATGAAAGAGAGGTTCGGCAGTTTTTGCCCATTTTCTAAAAAATTATGAATGTTAATTGTCAAGGAAACAAAATGCTGTACAAATTCAAACCATGGATATTGATTGAAAATCAGTAAATGGTAAAGACAAACACATAACTATAACTATTGATAGAAATTATTTCGTTTAGAATTTTATCGACAACCTTATAAACATATGTTAAACGAAATTAAATATAAGCCCATATGGAATTTTTTTTCAATATTCATAGTTAATTGTATTAATTATATTGATTATAGTCTTAGCACGTGATCCCGTCTATATTTTAACAGTTCTTGATTCCTTGTATTCCATGTTTTAGGTCCCTTGAATCACCGACGAATCAGAAAACGACAAAATAGCTTAATTACGGAATACATTCATTCTCGACATATACTTGCATTATACTTAAAGTTATATGTATTTAAAAGAGATGTAAATTTATATTATAAGATTCAGAAACTTTAGGTTGTTAGTGTTATAATTGTATCAGATCCTTACTGTTGTCTACTATACCTAATCAATCAGAAGTCTACAGATAATTTTGATGTAACTTTGTCTGATTACCAGGTAAATGTACAGACTGAGATAGAAGCGACATTGGATGGCGTGCCAGGAACATTTTCCCAGGAAACCTCAACACAAGAAATCCCGACGAGGATAGATGAAGGAATTTACGTCGGTGGATTAGGGTCGAAGAGTCACATAATTGCTGGTAAAACTAAACTAAGGTAAGAAATATATATATATATCACTTCAAGACATTATATACGTCTATTGCTTATGTAAATGGAGTCTTGTTTAGATATTTCTATATAAACTCAATGATCGCCGCACCATGTGTGTGTTATCCCACCACGTCGACTTAAAAAACAATGTATCTGTATGTATAATGTAATAAAAGATGAATACATTTACTATTATGTTAATGTACAATTACATCAGTTAATATAGCTTCCATAATTCTATACTTAATATCTGATGCAATAAAACGTTCAAACTAATTCACTGACCTTTTTTTTCTTTTACTTTGGTTTTGCAGATCTCTGACAGGCTGCATTTCAACACTGCGTATAACAGACAAAACTGTTCCTATGTATATGCTACAGGAAAGCAAGAACGTGGTGTATGGTTCATGTACAGATAGTGTAAGTATTGGTAATGCGTGTGCTGGTAATACGTATGTGGAATAGCAATGCGTTCCGTTTGATTTAGTGTAGTGCCATTTCGCAAAATGATGTCATAGATATGTTGATTTTCAACGAGCAAAGCCCTTTAAAGGCAACTTGTTGATGAAGACAAACATTGGTGAGGTGCATTCTTCAACATTTTCAAAACAGTTTTAAATTGTTCTTATTCATCCACTAAATGAGTGGAATACAAATATAAAAAGTGAATATAGGATCGCTGTGTATGACACCAACTGTGGCTCCCATGACTTTGTCAATGTCTGACATTGCCTTTGTCACGTAAAGAAAGTCTGACATTGTCTTCGTCACATAAACAAAATGTGACATTGCCTTTTTCACGTAAGCAAAGTCAAACATTGTCTTTGTCACGTACACAAAGTCTGGCAATGACTTTGACACGTAAACAAACTGACATTGCCTTTGTCACGTACACAAAGTCTGACATTGCCTTTGTCACGCACACAAAGTCTGACATTGACTTTGTCACGTACACAAAGTCTGACATTGACTTTGTCACGTAAGCAAAGTCTGACATTGACTTTGTCACGTACATAAAGTCTGACATTGTCTTTTTCACGTACACAAAGTCTGACATTGCCTTTGTCACGTACACAAAGTCTGCTGGATGTTGTCATTGTACACATTTGTCTGACACCTCCTTGTTTTCCCTATAAGGGATAAATACCTGGATGTTGTCATTGATCGACGACGTTTGATTTGTCTGAGTCACCTCCTTGTTTACCCTATAAGGGATAAATACCTGGATGTTGTCATTGATCGACGTTTGACGTCACCTCCTTTTCCCTATAAGGGATAAATACCTGTCAGATCACGTTTGATTTGTCTTGTTTTCCCTATAAGGGATAAATACCTGGATGTTGTCATTGATCGACGACGTTTGATTTGTCTGAGTCACCTCCTTGTTTTCCCTATAAGGGATAAATACCTGGATGTTGTCATTGATCGACGACGTTTGATTTGTCTGAGTCACCTCCTTGTTTCCTATAAGGGATAAATACCTGGATGTTGTCATTGATCGACGACGTTTGATTTGTCTGAGTCACCTCCTTGTTTTCCCTATAAGGGATAAATACCTGGATGTTGTCATTGATCGACGACGTTTGATTGGATGTTGTCATTGATCGACGACGTTTGATTTGTCTGAGTCACCTCCTTGTTCCCTATAAGGGATAAATACCTGGATGTTGTCATTGATCGACGACGTTTGATTTGTCTGAGTCACCTCCTTGTTTTCCCTATAAGGGATAAATACCTGGATGTTGTCATTGATCGACGACGTTTGATTTGTCTGAGTCACCTCCTTGTTCCCTATAAGGGATAAATACCTGGATGTTGTCATTGATCGACGACGTTTGATTTGTCTGAGTCACCTCCTTGTTCCCTATAAGGGATAAATACCTGGATGTTGTCATTGATCGACGACGTTTGATTTGTCTGAGTCACCTCCTTGTTCCCTATAAGGGATAAATACCTGGATGTTGTCATTGATCGACGACGTTTGATTTGATAAATCTGATTGTCACCTCCTTGTTTTCCCTATAAGGGATAAATACCTGGATGTTGTCATTGATCGACGACGTTTGATTTGTCTGAGTCACCTCCTTGTTTTCCCTATAAGGGATAAATACCTGGATGTTGTCATTGATCGTTTGATTTGAGTCACGACGTTTGATTTGTCTGAGTCACCTCCTTGTTTCCTATAAGGGATAAATACCTGGATGTTGTCATTGATCGACGACGTTTGATTTGTCTGAGTCACCTCCTTGTTTCCTATAAGGGATAAATACCTGGATGTTGTCATTGATCGACGACGTTTGATTTGTCTGAGTCACGTTGTTTCCTATGTTTGATTTGTCTGAGTCACCTCCTTGTTTTCCCTATAAGGGATAAATACCTGGATGTTGTCATTGATCGACGACGTTTGATTTGTCTGAGTCACCTCCTTGTTTCCCCTATAAGGGATAAATACCTGGATGTTGTCATTGATCGACGACGTTTGATTTGTCTGAGTCACCTCCTTGTTTCCTATAAGGGATAAATACCTGGATGTTGTCATTGATCGACGACGTTTGATTTGTCTGAGTCACCTCCTTGTTTCCCTATAAGGGATAAATACCTGGATGTTGTTGTCGTTTGATTTGTCTGAGTCACCTCCTTGTTTTCCCTATAACCTCCTTGGGATAAATACCTGGATGTTGTCATTGTTGTCACGTTTGATTTGTCTGAGACGACGTTTGATTTCCTTGTTTCCCTATAAGGGATAAATACCTGGATGTTGTCATTGATCGACGACGTTTGATTTGTCTGAGTCACCTCCTTGTTTCCCCTATAAGGGATAAATACCTGGATGTTGTCATTGATCGACGACGTTTGATTTGTCTGAGTCACCTCCTTGTTTTCCCTATAAGGGATAAATACCTGGATGTTGTCATTGATCGACGACGTTTGATTTGTCTGAGTCACCTCCTTGTTTTCCCTATAAGGGATAAATACCTGGATGTTGTCATTGATCGACGACGTTTGATTTGTCTGAGTCACCTCCTTGTTTTCCCTATAAGGGATAAATACCTGGATGTTGTCATTGATCGACGACGTTTGATTTGTCTGAGTCACCTCCTTGTTCCCTATAAGGGATAAATACCTGGATGTTGTCCTGACGTTTGATTTGTCTGTCACCTCCTTGTTTTCCCTATAAGGGATAAATACCTGGATGTTGTCATTGATACCGACGTTTGATTTGTCTGAGTCACCTCCTTGTTTTCCCTATAAGGGATAAATACCTGGATGTTGTCATTGATCGACGTCGTTTGATTTGTCTGAGTCACCTCCTTGTTTTCCCTATAAGGGATAAATACCTGGATGTTGTCATTGATCGACGACGTTTGATTTGTCTGAGTCACCTCCTTGTTTTCCCTATAAGGGATAAATACCTGGATGTTGTCATTGATCGACGACGTTTGATTTGTCTGAGTCACCTCCTTGTTCCCTATTTCCCTATAAGGGATAAATACCTGGATGTTGTCATTGATCGACGACGTTTGATTTGTCTGAGTCACCTCCTTGTTTTCCCTATAAGGGATAAATACCTGGATGTTGTCATATAAGGGATAAATACCTGGATGTTGTCGACGACGTTTGATTTGTCTGAGTCACCTCCTTGTTTCCCTATAAGGGATAAATACCTGGATGTTGACGACGTTTGATTTGTCTGAGTCACCTCCTTGTTTTCCCTATAAGGGATAAATACCTGGATGTTGTCATTTGTTGTCACCTCCTTGTTTTCCCTATAAGGGATAAACTGGATGTTGTTTGATTTGTGATTTGAGTCACCTCCTTGTTTTCCCTATAAGGGATAAATACCTGGATGTTGTCATTGATCGACGACGTTTGATTTGTCTGAGTCACCTCCTTGTTCCCTATAAGGGATAAATACCTGGATGTTGTCATTGATCGACGACGTTTGATTTGTCTGAGTCACCTCCTTGTTTTCCCTATAAGGGATAAATACCTGGATGTTGTCATTGATCGACGACGTTTGATTTGTTTGATTTGTTTTCTATAAGGGATAAATACCTCATTGATCGACGACGTTGTCTGAGTCACCTCCTTGTTTCCCTATAAGGGATAAATACCTGGATGTTGTCATTGATCGACGACGTTTGATTTGTCTGAGTCACCTCCTTGTTTTCCCTATAAGGGATAAATACCTGGATGTTGTCATTGATCGACGACGTTTGATTTGTCTGAGTCACCTCCTTGTTCCCTATAAGGGATAAATACCTGGATGTTGTCATTGATCGACGACGTTTGATTTGTCTGAGTCACCTCCTTGTTTTCCCTATAAGGGATAAATACCTGGATGTTGTCATTGATCGACGACGTTTGATTTGTCTGAGTCACCTCCTTGTTTCCTATAAGGGATAAATACCTGGATGTTGTCATTGATAACGTTTGATTTGTCTGAGTCACCTCCTTGTTTCCTATAAGGGATAAATACCTGGATGTTGTCATTGATCGACGACGTTTGATTTGTCTGAGTCACCTCCTTGTTTCCCTATAAGGGATAAATACCTATGTTGTCTATAAGGGATAAATACCTGGATGTTGTCATTGATCGACGACGTTTGATTTGTCTGAGTCACCTCCTTGTTCCCTATAAGGGATAAATACCTGGATGTTGTCATTGATCGACGACGTTTGATTTGTCTGAGTCACCTCCTTGTTTCCCCTATAAGGGATAAATACCTGGATGTTGTCATTGATCGACGACGTTTGATTTGTCTGAGTCACCTCCTTGTTCCCTATAAGGGATAAATACCTGGATGTTGTCATTGTCATCTATAAGGGATAAATACGACGTTTGATTTGTCTGAGTCACCTCCTTGTTTCCCCTATAAGGGATAAATACCTGGATGTTGTCATTGATCGACGACGTTTGATTTGTCTGAGTCACCTCCTTGTTTTCCCTATAAGGGATAAATACCTGGATGTTGTCATTGATCGACGACGTTTGATTTGTCTGAGTCACCTCCTTGTTTTCCCTATAAGGGATAAATACCTGGATGTTGTCATTGATCGACGACGTTTGATTTGTCTGAGTCACCTCCTTGTTTCCTATAAGGGATAAATACCTGGATGTTGTTATTGATCGACGACGTTTGATTTGTCTGCGTCACCTCCTTGTTCCCTATAAGGGATAAATACCTGGATGTTGTCATTGATCGACGACGTTTGATTTGTCTGAGTCACCTCCTTGTTCCCTATAAGGGATAAATACATGGATGTTATTTCGGTTTCTGATTTGACTCTGTTGTACCGGATTCTTAATTTGTGTTGAAAGGTGTTAAAAACTTGTTTTTTGTGGTACAATCTGTGTGATAAATGCTAATATTGAAAGTAAATAACTCCAATATGCATCGTGTCGACGACTTACCTTAACGGAATGGGTGTGAATCATATCCTTGTAGTCGTTGTCACTGTTTTACGTTTCACTGAACAGCTGTATGATGCGGTCAAATGGCATGGCCATGTTGTATCTTATTCTGAGTTTGTATAGGAGAGTACGATTCGTGGTTTTTTGAATAGATAACATTTCTAGAAATGTTCAGTAATCAGTTGTTTGAACTGATTTACTTTTTTTTAAATACATCAAACAGCATATTCAAAAGGAATTTGGAATTATCGTTTTAAGGGCGACAATGTTCTTTGATCATATCTTTTTGTTTAATTACCTTTAAGATGTATAATCATGAAACAAATGCATCAAATCAATCAATGTTTAGAGAAATATAAGTTTCCAATTCTCTGCTTCTATGAATATGTTATTGACAAAGGAAAAATAAATGCTTGGAATATTTCACATTATGCTGGGCAGAATTAAAATCATGAACAAGTGTATGTCTAGAATTGTATCACTTATTAAGATCGACCTTTGTGTCTGATATCACCAGTAGCATAACTATGACGTATTTGTTGCCATGGATACAATGCTATTAAATATAGACTGACAATTGTGGCGCGGTCGCAGGTTGGAAATAGAAACTGATAAAGAGACTGAACTTGATATTACTAATCTTCTTGCAGGGATTGACCAAGGATATCTCGTATATATAGTCATTATTATTTGCTTAAATTTCCAGTTCACTAAACGTAATTTCTATAGAGGAAAAACCTTCCTATGAATATATAAATATTACCATTGGCTTAGGTTCCAAATAAAACATCATTCGAAGATTGTGTAGATAAATGACACTCAAGTGAAAAAAGTCTTTTGATACCATTTAGAATTAGATACATTAAAACCCAATAATGAATTAAACTGCATTATACAGCTCCTCGTAATTCTGTGACACAGAGATGATGTTACGGGCTTAAATTGTTGAAACTGAAGAATGGAGTGGAGGAAATGATACAAAACAAATAAGGATAAAATAAATTTCATTAGCCCCATACCATTTTTTCGATAAATTACGTTATTTTCACACATCTGATAAGCAGATAGTCAGGTACACTTTGAATAAGTATAAGAATAAAAAGTGGGATGCAGGTTACAGGAAACCTCGAGGTCTACTTGCAATGCCTGCCCTCATCACGAAAACATACAACTGAACCCAATCTTTGTTGTTTACAGCCTATCTGTCTGTTAAAACCATTTCCGCTGCATCCTCCGACATTATTAATTGATTTCCAATTGTCCGTGTAAAGATAAATTTTGACATAATATTTTATATATTCCTTAAAATATCGAATCCGTTGTAATACAGGCATATTATGTTTACTGGATATAAGTCATTGTTTTAGTGTAATAATAAATAAAACGTGTTGATTACGGAAACCATTTGGTTGACCTCTGTATTCTTCACTTTTAGGTGTGGCATCACTGTGTCCGTTTTACGGATAATAGTGTACCAGTAACGTTAGGAGACAACCTGGAATCAAGTCGGGTATTCATCACTGTTAGTACCGCAGCTATTGGAACAGTAGTCAACTATAAACGGAAAGACGTAAGTATTTCAAACCCTCAAAACACATAAAATAATATACCTTCATTTTGTTATATATGGGAGTCTGAAGTTGGTTCCCAGTTAACAATAGTTAACTATAAACGGACAGATTTAAGTATTTTGTTATATGTTATATGGGAGCCTGAAGTTGGTTCCCAGTTAACAATAGTTAACTATAAACGAACAGACGTATTAAAAAAAAAAAACCTCAAAAGACATAAAATAATATACCTTCATTTTGTTATATTCATAGGAGTCTGAAGTTGGTTCCCAGTTCCTAGTTCCTAATACAGTTTAAGAAAAACTGGAGCTGGGAATAGATCCGAGAACCGTGTTAGCTTCAATGGGACTGGGAACTCGATCCTAGTTCGGTGTAATATTAGTATGATATTAAGTAAATTCGGTACAATAATCGAGCTCACAAACTTCCAGTTACAGTTTCGTTTTAGCTAAAACGGAACTAGGATCTTGTTCTCAGTTCCATTTTTCTTAAACGGAACTCAAATATGGAACTAGGAACTGGTTGTCAACTTCAGGCTCCCTTTATTTTTCAGAAAATACGGTGTTTTAGCAAAACATGTCATTTGATGCGTGATCTTTCTGTTTTGGTTAGTTTTACTTTACAAAACAAGTATTAACGGCATATAAATAATTAATTCTGATTGGCTAACACATTGCTGGAGCTTTTTCCCTCACAAAAGAACAAATTGCAGTTAATAACAATATATAATGAGAAATGCGCAGATTAATTTTTAGATATCTCGAGTTATGGAGATGGTTTCCCTAAGTATGAATTATCCTTTGTCTGCATGAAAAATAAACTTTTAAGAGCTTGGACATATATTATACAATAGTATACTATTAAATATCATATTATATATTATTATTATATCCACTGGTCTCTCAACATGGAATATAACACTCAATAGATATGGTATCAAACATTAATCATATTGTGTTTTATAGAAATTCAACATAAACATAGAACTGGATGATTCTGGTGTGACCATCACCGAGAGTATTGTGGGCAATGAAGAAAAACTGTTCACTACATCGAATAACGAAGATAGATGGATGACCCTCCTAATAGAAGATTTAACGTACGTTTTATCGCTTAATGTCATACCAACAGGTGACCTTGTAATACAGAGATAACGTAATATTAACAGGTGGTCTTGTGATACGGTGATAACTTGATATTAACAGAATGTCTTGTGATTCAGTGATAACGTGATATTAACATGTGATCTTGTGATGAAGTGATAACGTGATATTAACAGGTGGTCTTGTGATACGGTGATAACTTGATATTAACAGGTTGTCTTGTGATGCAGTGATAACGTGATATTAACAGGTGGTCATGTGATTCAGTGATAACGTAATATTAACAGGTGGTCTTGTGAAACGGTGATAACTTGATATTAACAGGTTGTCTTGTGATGTAGTGATAACGTGATATTAACAGGTGGTCATGTGATTCAGTGATAACGTGATATTAACAGGTGGTCTTGTGAAACGGTGATAACTTGATATTAACAGGTTGTCTTGTAATGCAGTGATAACGTGATATTAACATGTGATCTTGTGATGTAGTGATAACGTGATATTAACAGGTGGTCTTGTGAAACGGTGATAACTTGATATTAACAGGTTGTCTTGTAATGCAGTGATAACCTGATATTAGCAGGTGGTCGTTATATAGTGATAACGTGATAACTCCGGATGTTTAATTCCACAAGTCCTGAAGCAACATGTGCGACTAATATGAGTTGAGGTCATGTGACATTTTAATGACATAAATCTTAATGGCTAAGATTGGTTCTCTGTTGTTTTACAAGCTTTACATTATTAACGGACTGTCATTTCCCGATTTAGCCAAATCTAGTGCATTATTATATTAGTTATATATTTGAAAAGAGGAAAATGTAACATACCATTTTGGAATAAAAACGTGTACACCTGTACGATGATGTCAATACATCACACATTCTACGGAAATACTCCTTTATATTCTTTTTTTTTCTTCTGTCTGTAATATCGTATTTGAAAATCGTCTGAAAATGAGAAATCAGTATAGATTACAGATTTATGTATCAAATACCATCAAAACAAATCCTTGTTTTGCCAATTCTGCTCTTTCTCATATTTCTTAGTATTCTCGATTTAACTTTACAGCTTTGTATTTGTTTTATGTTCTATGCATGTGATGTAATTGATGTAATATTTGTGTCTTGATAAAGGGGCAGGTTGCCTCGAAAATTTGACAATTCACTTGTCTGTACTGTCGTTATTACTTAATTGATTATATATATATATATATATACATATATAAATAACTAGAACATAACATCGTTATCATTTGGGGTGTCGGGTGTCGGTATGGTAAAAATTCGCCTATCTTCTCGAAGTATTGGACGAAAAAAGGTATAGATTCACCTGTAAGACCAAGAGGGTTTTCTCCAGGCACTACAGTATCCTTCTACATCTGGACCAACAACAGTGATTAGTATCAATTGTAATAACTTGTTTCGAAATTGTTGTGCAACAAATGAAATGTATACCTATTTGATTAAAGTAAGTGCTTAATTAGGGTACATACTTTTCGAGCTGTTGTTACTGCATACGGGTATTCAAAAGGTAAGATTTAGATATTTTTTATCTTGAAGGGACAAAGTGAAAGTTACTCTGAATGGGACGTCAGTGACACTTCAACATAAACAGAAAGGATGGTTTGCTACGGGAGATGACAGTTCCTCGGTATATCAGATCACTATCGGAGGAGAGGAGGGCGATGACCTGGCCACGTTTGATGGGGGAATAGCACGTGTTATTGTCAATGACGTGTAAGTATGACGTCACTATCTATTTTAAGCAAGTCTTTTATAAAGTTTATTAACCAATTATCACCAGAAACAAATTATTGTCGTGTTGATTAAAAAAAAATGTTAATATTCGATTTTGCTCAAATAATACTAATTTAGTATACGAATTGTTGATGAAGTTTAGTATTATTTGATATTAAAAATAAGTGAACAGAAAATTATGACAGGTTTTTAATTCCAAAATTAATAGCCACAAATCAGGTAGCAGCGTATGTCATCTTCTAATTGTTCTACTTAGTCAGAACTGTGGAACAGAATAGCCCGGTGTGGCATTTAAAAAAAACCGATATACTGTTGTAATGTTCATGTCTAAATTTCATCTTATTGATACGGGAATTGGTATCTCATACCCCATGGACCTGATATTGTCTTCAGATTCAGACAATCGTATGTATTCAACCATGTTGGTAAGAAATTTAGCTAAAAAAGTGACATTACAAATACCTACTTTAGCGGCGAGTTTTAAAGTTCTAACTATGAAAATGAAATGTTTAAATTGGATTTGTATATAAACATTTTTTTTCCTGTTCAAACATTTTCTTTTTTCTAAAGCTGAGATTCTGTACTGTTAGAATTATCAATCTAATTAACACATGTTAATACCATGTTTTCGTTTCCTCTCTGATAGGTTGAAAGACCTTGCTTCATCTGCAGATGTTCACAACCTCCTTGGATGTGAAAAACTCATTCCTGAGTTACCGGAAATGGAGAAAGACATGAAACCTGTATGTTGATATTGTCCTACCATGTAAAATACAGTGTGTACAGCTAATACCATCTCCAAGGGGAGGAGACAGGATCAAAACATCATTCGGATTCCTGAAATGGTTATTCCAAAATATATATCAATGACCATGATGGATATCTAAACATATAATACTAAACCTGGATTGATATTGGACGTGTAACATAATTACTATTCATTATTGATTAATATTTTATTACCTGATATGATCCGTCTATTTTCCAATAGCTGCGTTATTCAATCAAAGTATTCTTTTGCAAATTCATATATTGGTGTAACATTTAATTTTCACTTGTTAGGCGTAATAAGGATTTGTCTGGCCCCTATTATAAGGCACGGAAAAAGGACACCTATTGTCGCACTTGTATTCTAGCACAATACTCTCCCCTCCCAAAGCCATATAGCTAAAATATGTATATTTAACCTTTTAAGTATTTTCATATTTTAATGCATAATTTAACATTTAGATATCTACCACAAAAATTGCCATTCGGATATGTTCTTATGAAACACGAATATACATTTAATAGAATCTGTGTGAATTCATTCTTTATATATATATTAATTTTACTGTGTGATTGTCATAGCTTTCACCAAATTGATTTAGCAACAGGTGTACATGTAATGGTGCTGTTGGTGGGATGTTTTACGTGGATCAATAGCCTTTAAATGTGATTGTATTGGTGTTAAATGATGTTATAAACTTCCCTTTTAATTCAGACTGACTGCTGAGTGAATACATAAAACTTCAGCAGTTTGACAAACGTGACAAACACGACATAATTCAAGGATGGTTGTAGAACGTCCAAAAGATTGTGTGATCACGCGTTTACAAATTAAACCGGTGTTAATTGCTACAGTTCTTTTGCCTACATAAATTGATTATAATACAAAGATACATTTACTCTGGACCCAGTGTAATTGATAATTATCAGGATTGATGGAGAAGAACTAACTTTCTTTAAACAATGAAAAGCTACGTCCGAAGGTCAAATGTTGATGTTTCCTAATTCAAATACGAGTAAGATTTTCAAGAAAATCTACTTCATTTTTAAACATCTAGGTTTTCAATGATAAAGAAAGAGAGCTTTCAGTTTTATTCAAGAATTCGTGAATGTATGTACTGTCTTTATCAGTATGAGTATTAGTATGATAGCAATAAGTGGACTGCGACACGAATCATTCCTTGAAACGAATATCAGTTTATTGTTTGAGAACACCACGAGACAGACATCAAATTTTTTTTATTTTAATTGTGAAAGAAAGCGATAGGAATACTCACAGAGGTGAATATACAGCGACTGGTTCTTCGGTGAAAACGCAAAAAGTTCAAAAATATTGTTTATCATATACCGTCAGTGAATAAAGCATTTGCATATCATGTATGTTTTCAATTGTTTTCAATTCAACAAACAATATGTGGCAGGATATGTAATCAATGCGATGATACAACCTTACAAATAATGGCGTGTAAACATTTCTGATTGTACTCTTTGCTCCCAGTGGAAATTAATGATTTTGTACCATCGATTCATCACACACTGTAGATATCTTGGTCCATAATTAGTCTTCAAGCTGGCTGGCAAAATCTTCTATGCTGTGAAATCAGATATTTTCGGGGGACTCCATCTACGTGTTTTTTTCTCTCGTTTATAAAATACTAGTTTGTGAACATTTGATTCCGTGGATAAATTTAGATGCATTATGTGCTTATACTATATTAAACACTTCGTGAACATATGATTCCGTTGAATAAAAGAACCCTAGAAATGAACGACTATTAAATTCTCCACAATCATAATGATTTCACAGTCTTTGTTATAATTAATTTTAATAACTGTACATATGTAGGGTGAAATATTACAAAACGTCAAACTTACAGTTAATGAATGTACATATAAACAAACGTAACTTCAATACCAGTAGACCCAAAGATCAAGATCACGGCGTCCACTTTCAAACGCTAAAATAATGTTACCAACAATTTTGTGTGTATGCGTATAAATTAAGCACTCTTTTCCCACCTTGTTAGTAAATATGTAATTTTTGTGTTTTTGTCATCGTCAGGTCATTGTTTTGTCGTTGGTTGTAATGCTTACTTTAAAATTTTCACTTATCTTTTCTTATCTTATAAGCTATCTGCTAGCTGCAGACAGCGGTACCGGAAATCGTAATATTGCGAACCAGTAGTTAATATAAAGCGTGTCCCTGAATTCCATATCAGACTTGTCAATACCTTCTTCTTATCAAAAGATAAGACACCTCAAAACATCTCACAGTTAAATCTAAGAACTTGACAAAGGCTTTGTGACTTGTTTTCATAATCTCTAATTTCTTTCGTGAAAACAAGCAAGATCAGCTGTGTATATGTTCTACTGGCAATTATCATATGTTTTTAACATGTTGATAATATTATCATGTTCACAGCCATCTTATAGACTTTGAATGAACTATTTAGCTGTATACATATTGTATTCTATAAGCTATTTGCATTTGGAAATAAAGAAATTGAAACTTGAGGGTACAGTTAACTTCCTTTGTTATCTCTATTGTCTGTAGGAACATCAAACTCAACGAGGGTATCAACAGTCAGAAATTCGATTTTGTTTTTCTGATTTCGTCATAAGCTTATTCGTTCCCACATGTATATCTGTAGTCTATTAAAAAACTAAATTTCACCAGGTCAAGATGAGAATTGCTTTTTTTCAATAAATCAGAAGAGAAGAAAAATTTGACATATGTATTTTTAGAATCATATATGAAATAATATTCGAAGAAATTTCTGTCTATATATTCTGGTGTATCAAAAAACAAAATATGGTGTTTTGTCAAAGACGATTAAAAAAGAAAAATAGTCCAAAAGATTAAAAATACATTGAGAGAAATGACGACAAATGTTTGTACATCGAACATTTGTTCTAATGGAGAATTTATAAAATAATCACATCCAGCTGATGTATAAAAAAATAAAAATATAAAAAAAATTGTTACAGGACTGAATTTCTTTCAGTTTTTCAACATTACATATATACATTCCATGGTCTTGCTGATTCCAGCTGTACAGAGACGTGAACCGATTTAACAGAATTCTGTGATTCATATGAAAGTGGTATCATCTTACAGTCACACTATACAGAGCTATAATATCAATTATCTCCCTTCGACTGTATCGCCTTCATAACATGGTGCACATAAGGTAGAAGTATGAACACAATATCACCGTTGTCAGTAAAGATACTGCTATCTTATACCTTGCGTACTCATTAATATATATATATACATATATATGTTTTGTGGAGAATCTGACTTGTGAACGCGTTGATATGATATTTTCGCACCAAAGGTATCCTGTATACGTCTGTAAAGTCTCATCCAATTATTATTGTTATTATTCTGATCATTACATATGAGCCTAGTGTTGAATATGTATTTGTACACGAAATTAATTCTAATAAAATAGGAAATAAGACAAGAGGCCCAGGGGGCCTGTATCGCTCACCTGGATCTTTATGACCGAAATTACTATTTCTGTGCATATGTTCCACAGTAGATGCTTAAAGCAATATGGCAAATGACACCATATGGGTTCTGTCCCTAAGTAGTCAGCCCCATCATCTGTGCAATGTTGAAATGAAACTTTCTTATGATGTTTCAAGTTAAATATAATTGATAGCTTTCTTTTAATCAGGGAAAGAATATGGTCACACAATATAGCACAAAAACTCTTGGTTATAGCTGGACGGATGACCCAGGATAGCAGAAGCTTACTTGCCCTTTAGATCATTGTTTACAAACACAGATACAGCATATTTGAGACTTGCACAAGTCAACAATATATAGCAACGATTAAATATAAAGACAGGAAAAATTAAGGTACATGTAATTATAAACCATAACCCTAACTCAAAACCAATAATAAAACGTTTCATGCATATCATTAGTGATGTCACCATGGTCTGTTAAGCCCCGGTTACTGGAGATATACTGAAAACAGTTTACTGTAGGCCTATAATCACTGCATAGCAAATGGGATCAACTTAGAATTTCATATCTATTTATGCTATAATTATGAAGAATCTTAAATCAAAATGACGCTCTTGCAATTATCTTTCCGATCATGTTTTCTGTATTTTAATGCTGTGAATAGAACATAAGTAATTGGCTAACATGTAGTTTTTCACATTACTCAGCTCAAGCCTCTCAGACCTCCAGAGGGCTTGGCCTAATCTATTTTTGGAACAGTGTGACATCACTGTGTAAGGTCTTTATAATTTATTCCAAATTATGCCAAGAAAATTCCCAGCCAAATATATTCCTTTAATAAGTCATTGGACGGGTCTTCATATTTGTATATAAGCCTTTGTGAAACTTTTACTGGCCAAATATGATAGCCTTTGGTCAATCAGAAGTTGGTAATAATTTGACCAAATTTAGCCCCAGTAACCTTAAATATTTTGTTAAGCAGAAGTTGTTCAAAGGTTTAACACATCTGACTGTTTTGACCTTGACTTTGGGGTTAAGGTCATTTCTTTTTGCAAACTATCTTGGATATTTTGGAAGAAGTCGTTTAAAGGTTTTCCAATATTTGACCTCTGTGACCTTGAATATGGGTCAAGGTTATTTTTCGCAAAGTTTGTTTTGGCTTCATCAAATGAACCTTTCAGCCAAATGTGATAACTCTACGCCTTTCGGTATTTCAGAAGAAGTTGTCTAAATGAAAAGTTGATGGACGAAGGACGGACGGACGACGGACAGACGGACGACGGACGCCGCGCTGTGGCATAAGTTCACTTTGCCCTTATAAAACGGAAGACATCATTACTGCACGGCCTTTACCAGCGAAAGATCAAACAACGTGAAAATCAAAAGTAAAAATATTAGGTGGTATCGGTGAGTGATCTCTATAGTGTTCGGTTTTGTGCTCTGAAATTGCAACGCCACGCTAAAAGGAACGTTTTTTAAATTTTTGAATAACAATCCTGGATACATCCTAACTAATCCGAAGTCTGTAGGATCTAACCAATAACTTCAGTCGATTGAATGTTAA